GTTTACTTATATAAATTATTTAATAAAGATATGAGCAAGGCCTCACCTTTTAAAACCAAAAAAAAAAAAAAAATAAAATATAATTTGTATATATATAATAAATATTTTATTTAAAACATATTCTATAGATTTTATTAAAAAATTTTTCTTTAAAGTAATAAAAATTCAAATTTTTGTAAAAATTTTTACTACATATAAAATTGATTAGCATCTAAAAAGATTGATTAGACTTTAGTTCAAATAGTGAAAAATTTTAAATAAAAAAAATTTTTTTGATTTTTGATAATACTGTATAAATTTGGGATACAAAATTCGGAACCAAAAATCAAAATACTTTAATACAGTACGTATAAATTCAAGCTTTAAATAACCATATAAATTAAATTTAAAAGCAACCACATATTTAATTTATATCTATAATTTACTGTATACCTACATTGCAAATTGGCTAATGCTAAAAGTTGAATCTATTTTCTACTATATATCTATGTGGGTGCACTATTTTATCTTTTACTTTATTCTATCTTTATTGATAGAAATTGTGCGCATAAAATGTAAAGCTAGGTACGCGAAAAAGCACATAATTTTAAGCATAAGTTTTTCTCATTGTATGGAATAGATTTTTGCATCAGCCAGAGCGGCTTCCCGAAGTTCGGGTTGAAGACAATGACACTGTCGCGCATATAGTATTTCACCGTTGTCAGATATCAAGATCTTTCATATCGTTTTAGCATACTTTAAGATTAGAAGATTCAAAAAATCAATGAGCTTTTCGTGTCATCGTCATGATCGTGTCGAAATTAATTATATGCTGCGGCAATGACGTTTATCAACTCAAATTTTGGTGGGACTGCCCTGGCTGATTCAGATTTTTTAATGAAAGAGCAATCAATGCACATACCTGTACCGATTTAACACCAACCTTAATCCTATCGTTTCACCGAAAAGTTTAATAGGTGTGATATGATATTCAATTGTCGTATCATCGGTTAATCGGTCAAACGACTAAACTAGTTTGCAATATATATATTTTTTGTCCTCGCTACGCTTCGGACATGTAAAAGTCCGTCAGTCCGCCACGTGTCTTTATTGTGATTGGCTATTACGGTCCATACTAGACCTTTTATCCGTCTGTCCACTACGTGATATTATTCTTATTGGCCGATAATTAATTAATATTAATAACAGTAATAAATATGTTAGGCTTCGGACTCCTTTTAACCTAATATATAATAAGAAATTTTATTTCATATCAATTAATCTTATCGTTATTTAATCAATTAATCTTTATTAGTTTAATCCATAGATGATTACAAATTTCCCGAAAAAATAAGCTATTTTATGAATAAAAATGACGTTACACTCGTCAATCACAACTTCACTTATCTCCTTTAATCCATGCGCTTAGAGACCGGGAGGCACATTTCTGGTAAATGATTGACGCAGCAGTCGAACTGCACCCCGAGTCATTCATAACATTTACGGTTCTGAATTACATGTAGCTCAAAAAGCAAATCTCAGTTAAATCGACTTTCCGCATGACCTGTGATCTCAACTTCTTTATTCAAAGTAACTAAAATGGGAAATTTTCTTATCTTTGATGCTCAATTATTTAAAGGTGAAATCATGTCGTGTACTAAAAAAGGTTGTATAAAGACACATGATTCATACATCATGATCTGCCAGCAATGCCAAGTTTGTAGTCCATTTTCCAATGCAGATGCAAGATGTGTAACTTGAAAATCGAAACGATCGCGATTCTTCACGAAAAAATTCCTTGCAAAATTTTGATTTAGATCTTTTGCTATTATCCTCACCTACCTATCCTAACCAGGAAAGCACTGTTAGGTATTCGAAGCTAAAAAGTAAATATATTGGGTTAAGATTAGGTAAATTGATGATCATCTTGTCTAAAAATCCTGTAGTTGCGGACATACTCCACAATATTCCGATACCAGACTTATGCAATTACATTTGACAGTATCCAGACTTATGCGATTTCAGGGATTTTTCATTGTTTGAACAATGAAAAATCCTGAAATTGCATAAGCCTGGACACTCCACATAAAATGCGTAACAAGTGCAATATTTGTGCAAAATGCAATATTGCTTAATATCAACATGATGCAATGCACATAATATGTGGCTTTTTTTGATCTAAATTAACTTGTAATTATCTAAACAACTACGATTGTTATTTGTTTTTAGTTTCTAATTTAATTGCACTGATATCACATAATCAAAATTTTTTATATTGCATAAAAATGCGGTTAATTTGCACGAGTCTGGACACTCTACGATACGCTCCAGATGCAACATAATAAATTTATCACATATCGGCGTATTTGCGGAAATGGTCCTGAATTGTATCTAAATTATATCCTCAAAGTTATTCGCAAATGAGCCCCAAATTTTGTAGCAAACAAATATACGTACGTGCGTACATATAAAGATAATTTAAGGGGTAAATCGATACAATAACACCGTTGTTGTATCCATTACCTCACTGTACGTACGTATATTTGTTTGCTACAAAATTTGGGCTCATTTTGCGGATAACTTTGAGGATATAATTTAGATTCAATTCAGGACCATTTCCGCAAATCCGCCGATATGCAATATTATCATATGATGTGTCTATTGTATATATCCCGAAATTAGCAGTCCTGATCCTGAATGTTGTTTTTTTATAATGATGTGGTTCAGTTAAGGGAGTGCAGTATATTATGTATAAAAAATTATGATTGGTTGCTAATTCGATCACAGAGGTGGGAAGGAGGGGGGTATGACCTTATAATAAAAAGAAATTACGTGATAAACGGCAGAAGTGATGATGCATCGCATGAAAAATTAATTTCACCTCAACTTCAGAACTTTGTGCATTTTTTTATTCTAAGAACATATGCCTTATAAAAAGATCACATGAGCTAATAAAACATAAAATGTACGTACATACAGTATAATATAGGAAACGATACTTGTTTTACACTTTTTTTTTTTTTAATTCTGTAGTACATTCGAGTTTGCTTGAAATAAATTTTATCATCGATCACCGATCATATTCCTAAGATGAAATAGTAGGAATCGAATTTAAAAAAAATAATAAATACACTAATATAATAAAGAATGGTAAATGGAAGAAAAGGAAATTTTACAGATAAACGAAAAAGCTGAAACATATTAGTATAATATAATAAGAATATGATGGTAAAAGTTAAATTAAAAAATGTATATATATATATCTTAAATAAATTAATTTTTAACACGTTTCTTTATCGAAACGAAGTGAATGTTCCAATGTCAAAAGAATTTTTTACATGAAAGAAAATAATTGATCGAATAAATAATAATAAACTCTTTACATTTCGCATCATCGTTGACACCATCGATGTTCCAAGACTCCATTTATGGTTAATCGTTGCGTAGGGTTCGTCTTGAATATTTTTTTCAACAAATCCCGTAAATCATCAGAACAACCGGATTCGTAAAGTGCCGACTCGTCATATCGACCATTTATGATCTTGTATTGTAAACGAGGTACGAAATCATCCATAAAAGGTAATTTATTTGTCACAAGGGCATAAAGTACAACACCTAGACTCCATATGTCAACGGCCGGATCCTTTAGAGAGGTTTTACTACGTGCTTGTTCTGGAGCACAATAAGCAAGTGACCCTCCAGCTTCCTCAGAAAGATCGCCAAAACCATTTTCATCATTTTGAAATTCTGTCAAACCAAAGTCGCAAATTTTCCATGTTCCTTCCTTATCTAACAAAATATTATCCAATTTTATATCTTTATGTACTAATCTCATGTCATTATGTAAATATCGTAAACCTTCTGCAATTTCCAGAAAGATGTTACGTGCATCATCTTCATCTAGCCCCTTATTTTCACCTTTACAATTTTGCTTTACATAGTTCA